GAGGTATTCGGCCAATCACAATGCACTAGATAGCTGGCCAATCAGAGCACACCTCGCTTTTCAGACTGATGAGCTTTGTAAAAGTCGACGCATTTCAGAAAAGCGGGGCATAGAGGAGAAAAAATTTACAAACCCAATTCCAAAAAAGTTGGGACACCGTACAAATTGTGAGTAAAAAACTGTGGCAAAGTGGAAAACTGTTCTGTGGTCAGACGAATCAAAATTTGAAGTTCTTTTTGGAAAACTGGGACGCCATGTCATCTGGACTAAAGAGGACAAGGACAACCCAAGTTGTTATCAGCGCTCAGTTCAGAAGCCTGCATCTCTGATGGTATGGGGTTGCATGAGTGCGTGTGGCATGGGCAGCTTACACATCTGGAAAGGCACCATCAATGCTGAACGGTATATCCAAGTTCTAGAACAACATTTGCTCCCATCCAGACGTCGTCTCTTTCAGGGAAGATCTTGCATTTTCCAACATGACAATGCCAGACCACATACTGCATCAATTACAACATCATGGCTGTGTAGAAGGATCCGGGTACTGAAATGGCCAGCCTGCAGTCCAGATCTTTCACCCATAGAAAACATTTGGCGCATCATAAAGAGGAAGATGCGACAAAGAAGACCTAAGACAGTTGAGCAACTAGAAGCCTGTATTAGACAAGAATGGGACAACATTCCTATTCCTAAACTTGAGCAACTTGTCTCCTCAGTCCCCAGACGTTTACAGACTGTTATAAAAAAGAAGAGGGGATGCCACACAGTGGTAAACATGGCCTTGTCCCAACTTTTTTGAGATGTGTTGATGCCATGAAATTTAAAATCAACTTATTTTTCCCTTAAAATGATACATTTTCTCAGTTTAAACATTTGATATGTCATCTATGTTGTATTCTGAATAAAATATTGAAATTTGAAACTTCCACATCATTGCATTCTGATTTTATTCACAATTTGTACAGTGTCCCAACTTTTTTGGAATCGGGTTTGTACAATTTGTGGAAAATAATGTTTTTTTTTTTTTTTACCTTAAACCGCATAAACACATTTCATTACACCAAATAATGTTCTTTTTAGCAACATCATATTTAAAATCGGCCTTAAAATCGTCTAGTGTGCAGCCAGCCTTATCTGACACACTCAATTCAGTTCAGGGAGAGCTATCCTAATGAGCTGATGATCTGAATCAGGTGTGGTAAATAAGGGAGACATGCAAAGTGTGCAGAGTGGGGGTCCCCAGGACCAGGATTAAGAACCAGTGTGTTATTTGTATATATGATTTGTAATTTCAGAAATGTATGGGATTAAGCAGGACTATTAGTTTAAATATTCTGCTTGTGTGTGTGTGTGTGAGAGTGTAGGTTGGGATCAATAACAACAAATCAGAGGCAAGTGGGATGTTCTCAGCTGATGGGGAGTTTGTTGACTTCACTCATCCCGTTCTTCTGGAGGTGCCAGTGGAGGTGTGTTTCCAACCTACAGCCCAACACAGCCTTTCTTGACAAATGCACTCTGCATTGAGCTTCTCGTCTTGTATGTGTAGGCATGGTTGTGTGATGTCGAGCGAACCATGTGCTGGACTTTAAAGGACTGTCAGAAGAACTGCTCCATGGCTCTCAAGAAGATGCCAGGGAAGAGGGGCAAATGGGTACGAGACTGGCCAGGACAGGTGAATGTGTGTGTCTCTGTATGCCTGTCGGTGTCTGTGTGCATGCAGTAATTCCACTTCAAAATGTGCTTTGCTTGTCTTTACAGATGTTGATCACAGCCAGCCAAATCAAGTGGACCACAGATGTCACCAGAGTGCTCATGACCAGCAAAGAGAGAGTAGATAAAGGTGCCCTTAAATCACTTAAAAAGAAACAGGTGAGAACAGCTTAGCAGTAACAGATTTGGGCTGATCCAAAGGTCACCGGTTTAAACACCAGAAAGGCCAATTTATGAATTAAGTTGAATTGTGCTGCCGTTGTTCTCTTGGGAGAGACAGTTAGACACAGTAAAGCTCTGTTGAGTCCAACAATTACCTGATTGTCCAACCAGTGGTGGATGTAAATCTTTGTTTTACATTGGATGTGGTGTGAACAGCCTTTATATTTGTTAATAGATGCATCTAGACAGAATCTGCAGACTTTTCCCCCATTTTCTGTCCCGATATAGATTTGAAAATATGTGGGATTCTCTGGAATGGATTACAACATGGTGTCAAATGAAGCTGAGAGTACTACACTCTTGTTAGTAGCTGAAATCAAAACAAAATTAGCCCAGATATTTAATTAACAACCATGTTAGCTGTGGGGGATTTGTAGAATTTTAGGAATGACAGGTGTTCTGATTCTGCAGAAATCTGCAGAGCTCTCTGTGGAGTTGTGCGGGCACCAATGCAATGCGAGTCTGCTAATAACTAGTGGATGAACTCCATACACTGCTGACTTCACTCAAACCTTTTGTGGAAAATGAGTTATTCATTTCATGTGTATTTGTACTTGGAGCACAGGATGCACTAGATACACAAGTTAATTAAGGACAGCAGCTCAAATGAATTTAATCCAATCACATCTTATAAGCCAAAGCCAGTGAGACACAGAGAATGGCTCAGGCCTGTCTCTGTGTCTTTGAGAGTTGAGATTTAGTCTCAGAGCATGGCTTCTTGGGCTTTAGGAAGGTGGGGATTTTTTTGTTGTTAATTTACATTTACATTACACGTCTCAGCTGATGTTTACTTACTGTGTTTGTAGTAACTGTGGTTAGGTTTGATCTGGAACCCTTGATCCATAAAATTAGTTTGCGTTGTGTTTGAGAGTGTGTCTGTCTTATAATAATGAGTGTTTGGGTTGTGTTGCCCAAGTGTCCATGCTAAGTCAGAACTCTGAAGCCATACGAGGGAACTTATAGAAGATTCTGCACTTTAAGATTGTCGCCCTGGTCACCATTGAGATCCACGCCTGTGATGTCATCAGCAAACTGGCCAAATCAGGCTGTTGTGACGTCAGTGCCTTTGACTGGCTGTGCCAACTCTGCCTGTACTGGGACAAGGTTAGGGGGAGACAGGATAGTGGGACTGAGAAAACATATAGAATAGGGAGGAGGTGATCACCACAATGTCTGTGTGTGTAGGATGTGTATGACTGCATCATCAAACAGACCAATACTCACTTCCGCTATGGCTACGAGTACCTGGGCAACTCTGGTCGTCTGGTCATCACCCCCCTCACAGACAGGTAACACATCAATGTGATCAACGTATTTAAAGATTATTAAAGTATTAAAACAAAATTATTTTTTTTTACATATTAAAAAAAACTTTTGGATGCATGGTGTTAATTCACAAACAAAACAAAAACTGTTTTGTATTACTTCATAAAAAGAATGCAGTCATTCTCAATCTTTTTCCCAGAATGATGTATTTTGCCAGTTATGTATCCATCCACTGCAATAAAATATAGTAGTAGATATTTCAGAGGTACTCGGTGCATGAATTCTGGATGCGTTAAATGTCATAAATAATGAAAATTAAAAATGTCATAAACATTTAAATGTCATGAATATAAAAAAACATCAACATATAAAGAGGAAAGTTCCCCATGGTGGCTTGAAGGTAACATCACACAGTGCAGACACTTTTTTCCCTTCCTTTCTCTATTTGCACATTTTAGAATAAAAAGTAAAATAAAAAGAGTAAAAAGTAAAGACTGCACAAATTAGAAGTATGAGTATTATGTGGTGACCGAAAATTAACTGATTGAACAGATCAGAAACTTTATTTTAGGTTCTTTATTATAAATTACATCTCTGCTCACTCTTTAAGAGAAATTACATCTCCAATTCTCCCAATCATCTTTATGAAGGGCACTCTGGAATGCTTTTTAAGTTCCTCAGTATGCCAAGCACTTTATTGTCTGCTTTAATTCACTTTCTGGACCAACTCATCCATTTCAAAAATGTAATATTACTATTTGCTTTGCAATGAAATTCATACATCTTATGTTTGTCAATAAAATAAAATAAAACGATCAAGCTTTTTAAGAATTAACATTTAAATCAAAAGATCTGATGACCAGCTCCCCCAGTTCATCAGAGAACACACAGTAAAATCAGAGTGAAGCCTATAGTGTTAGACTTACTCTGGAATGAATTTTGCCTGGGTGTCATTGTGCATGTAGAAACATTAACTCCACCAACAAATATAACCTCCCTCTTAGATATAATCACCTACACTGTCGTATTATACCATAACTCTCAGATTACTAGAGATACCAATATCCTGTCCTGTGTGACAGTCAACCCTGCATTTGACTGATGTGATCAGCTGGTTTATAATAATCATTATGGGAACTCTGATGCCGTTATCTGACTTCAGCCATTATCCGACTTCAGCCATTATCCAAGTCATTATGAGGGAGAGACAGAGATTGTGTCATTAACCTTATCAGTCAAGATCAGTAGAGCACACCTGCACATAGAGGTGGAGAGAGAAGAGCTGCAGATGTCTCTTGTGTGATAATAGAGCAAAAATGTTCTCTCTACTTGAAATTATACAGCGATTCCTGCTAGGAAGTAAAGTCAGGAGTCAATGGCAGATTTCCTGTTGTGTGCCTTCAGAGGCCGCAGAAAATCAGCATAGAATGTGCCTCCAGTGGAATGAAAGGAAGAATATAATCTGGGTTTATTATGTTGAGAGGGTGACATCTTAAGCCCACTCAAGGACATGGACAATGTGCTTAAGCCTGTCTGTCTGTCTCTTCTCCATGTGTGTATGTGCTTACGGATGCATGTGATTTGAGTGGATGTCAGTGTGTGTGCCAATGTTTAGCCCTAAGGATTGCTAAAATGTTTTCCCAAAAGTTAACAAAATTTGTGGTGTCCTTTAAGGGTAAAATGGTTTAGAAATAGTCAATAAAACATGATGAAGTAGAATGTGGTAAATGTGGTCTTTTCCATAACTTGCCATGGCAACTTTCTTGCTTTCAGTGCTTGTATGAGTGTGTAAATATCATGTATGTCAGTGTGTGAACTATGTGTTACAGACTGTGTGTGTGTGTTCTCGGTGTAGGTGCTACATGACTCTTACCACAGGGCAGTGGTAAAAGGGGTAGTTCTCAAAGTCCCTGCTGGAACTGGGAAGACAGAGACAGTTAAAGACCTGGGTAAATCTTTGGGCATGTACGTGATTGTGGTCAACTGTAGAAGGCCTGGACTTCAAATCTATGGGCCTCATGTACTCTAGCCTGGCTTAGGTATGTAGTAAAGTATGTCATACAAATACTTAAACTTTAAGAACAATTAATGTAGTGTTGTTGAATATGTGCATATGTCTCTCTCTCCAGACAGGCACTTAATGCATCAAAAGCCTAGCTTAAAAGTAGACTCGCATGCTATTTCCCAAGTCTTCTGAAGCCATATGATCACTTTTTGGAACAAACTGACATGGATTAGGGTTAAGGTTAGTTAATGATAATCTTCACCTCCAGTAAGTTTAACCTCTATTACATCATTGCTTCTGATTCACTAACAAATCATTCAGCCCGGTTATGTAAACTGGATCAATAAATTGACTGAAAGATTTGGCTTGAATCCGTGTAAGAGTGAGTAGATGATGACAGAATTTCAATTTCTGGGTGATCTATCCCTTTAAATATCTTTTATAGGGTTGGCAATATGTGTTTCGGTCTGTGCTTGAGGTTCTCATGCCCTCATTTCCTCTTTTTTCTGTGTGTATGTTTCTTCTGTAGGCTACGCTGGCCGCACTGAGCTGCCTGATAATTTGAAGTCTATGTTTCAGCCGATTTCTGTGGTAGTGCCAGATTCCACCCTCATAGCTGAGATCACGCTTTTTACAGAGGGTTTCAATAACTGCAAAATAAATAAAAGGGACACTCACACGCGTACAACACTTCATATTCAGTCTGAATGTTCTTTAATTCTTTAAGCTTTAAATGGTTACACATCATGATTAACACTAGCGATTTCAAACAAAAAATTAACACTTAAAGGATCTTTTAATTTGAGAATCTCATCTACTGACAACCTTGAGAGCAAAAAGAGAGGCATTTTATTCCCATATTAAAGCCTAATACTTAATGGGGAAGTGTCAGTGCTAAAACACTCTCATATTCTAGTTATATTCCAGTAAACACTGCCGTGAAATATTATTTTGATTAAAAATTATCTGTTTTATATATTAATATATAGTTTATTCTTGTGACGCAAAGCTGAATTTTCAGCAGCCGTTATTCCAGTCTTCAGTATCACATGATACTTCAGAAATCATTCTAATATGCTGATTTGGGGCTGCTTAATATGTTTTTGGAAACCCTTTTTCTTCAGGGTTCTTTGATGAATCGAAAGCTTAGAACAACAGCAATTATTTAAAATATGTATATTTTTGTTTCATTTTTGATCAGTTAAATGCATCCTTGCTGAATAAAAGTATTAATTTCTTTAAAAAAAAAACAAAATAAAACAAAAAAAGAACTGACCTCAAACCTTTGGATGGTAGTGTATATTTTACACAATTCTTGAGTGGTTTCCAGGGTTTTGCAGATTGGTTGCTAATATGGTGTTCTGAGTGGTTGCTAGGGCATCGCCAAATGGATTCTCAGGTACTCTGAGAGATTGCTTGGTGGTTAATTACAAACATAATTCAAAAAAGCCCACACCAAGTCTTTATGATTCAGCCATATTTTTGTCCAAAGTCTGATCACTTGGCGCAGTAATAACACACCTCTCCTCAAAAAGCAGCACGATTTGAGGCATCATGCCTGTCCGTACCACTAATTAATCTTTTTTTAATTTAAACAAATTCTTCGAGTTCAGTGTATACGAATAGAAAACTATTGTTGAAGGCAGAGAGAGTGCTAGTTATTATATGATATTAGATTCTATTGAAGATGGAAGAGATCAACACAGTTAGGCAAACACAGATGAACTGGCTCACACACACACTTACACACTCCAGGGGGCTGATCCTGCCAACGTGTTACCTCCAACACGCAGCAGGCATGCCAATTGTGTGTTTATGCACGCATTTGCACGAGAGACATCCAACCGACGCATAATGCCAACCCCTTCAAACACACACTCCACAAACACACACCCCCAGTGGTTGACCAAATCCCACAAGTTTCCATTGACTGCATCCCCTCTCTTCCCCCTGCCTGTGTGCTCCAAACGGGAAGTCTCATTTGTTGATGCCGTACACAGGCCGGCGGGCTGGCTGCAGCACAGGCATGGGGAATTGGACTCAGAATTACAAATAATGGACTTGAGATTAAGAGAGCTGGGAAGGGAACCAGCACTGGCCCCAGCCAAGCACAGAATGTCAATGGCAGATTTGATTGTCCCGGCATACTCGGCCCTCATCCAGACACCCCTCTGCATAGTCAATACGGCAAAATCACCGCGTGCTGCAGAGAGAGAACTATTAACTTTGCAAATGAAAGGAAATGAACATATCAATGCCAGGCTACGTCAGAGAGAGAGCGGGAGAGTATTGCCCCGACGCACCGGAGTGTGCAGGTCTTGGTGTTATGAGCCATAACTGACAGCGAGATGACCGCCCCCTGCGAGTCCATAGTCTGCTCGGCCTAGCGTGACTCTGGCGCGTGTTTCTGTGTGTGCGCTCGCATGAGCGTTGGTGTCTGTATAAGTAAGACTGTTAGTGGGCAGTGTGGAAACGGAGCTGACACGGTTACCCTGACTCATACACACTGGCTTCTTCCTTCTGTTACATATTCACGGTATTCATGGGCATACACATACACTCAACTTTATGCTTCAGCCTTTTTTTGCATTCTGCCTCTCTCTCAATCACAGACATAAATTGCACCCATTGTGATTGTCTGTCATTATTTTCATTTAAAAACAATTGTGCTTTCAATTATTGTCTTTCCAATTATATTTCATTAATTATTGTTGACATGCAGTTGCATTATGGGCATTTAACGTGTATCGAAGCAAATTTTGAGCTTCCTGCTCCTGGCAAAATCATGTTCAGATTTTTACTTGCCCAGCCAACATTTATACTTTGTATTTTTCACTATGCATTTTTTAATTTTCCATAAATATTTGATTCCCTTTCAAGGGAACTTCGAGCACTAGCAGAGCGTTTAGAGGGTGTGTGCATCTGTGTCGTCGCTATTTGACACCTGATGACACACACGATCTCTGCGTTTTGTGTTTGGGCGAGGAGCATGCATGCGACGTCCTTGAGGGGGCGATTTGCGTGCATTGTGAGCGTTTTTCGATGAAAAAGCTCTGCTCTCGTTTGTCTCTTTTTTCAAGGAAAGAGAGGCAGCCATCTGCTCCCCACGGTTCAGGACCCGCCGCTGCTGAGGCACGGAGGTGAATGAGCTCATGGGGTTCGCAGGTGGACCTGGCTGATGAGTTTAGGGAGGGGCATTCCTTTTCGCGCTCGTTGGCTGCGGACGAGAGAGAGCAGCTGGAGGATGATGTTATCTCTTTGACATCATCTGATCCGGGGGCCAGTGCTCTGCTGGGGTTAGCCCAGGAAGAGCAGGAGATGTCTGAGGACGGCGAAAAGGCTGAGCCTTCCCAATCCTCCTGCCCTGCTTATGGTGAGCTGTTGGAAGTTATGGATCGCGCCACGGCGAGGCTAGACTTGCCGTGGAAGCGGGCCAAGAGAGGGGCGCCGCGGGGTCGTCTCGATGAGCATTATCTTTCTTACCATGACCGTCCAGCTCAGGTGAGCCTCTTTGGGTGAGACATCCTCCCTTAATACTCCCTCCTTGCCATCAAAGCCCCTCCAGGATACATTGCGCTTAAATGGCAGGGCATACGCAGCAGCAGGTCAGGCTGTGGCTTCGTTGCACACTATGGTGGTGCTCCAGGCGTATCAGGCTGATCTGCTGAAAGACCTGGATAAAGGCGAAAGCCTTTCTCCTGATCAGGTAGCTGAGCTGCTCCGCACCACAGATAGCAAACAGGCCGCCTCTGCCATGGGCAGGTCTATGGCGGCGATGGTGGTAACGAAGAGACATCTGTGGGTGAACCTGGCAGATATCGGGAAGAAAGAGAGGGGCTTTCTTCTCGATGCTCCGGTTTCGCCTTCTGAACATTTTGGTACCTCTGTTGAGATGGTGGTCGAGAAGTTCAGGGAGGCGAAGGCGCGCTCAGCAGCCTTTAAATCCTTCATTCCACGAAGGTCCAGGTCTGAGCCCGAACAACATAGGGGTCCTGGTCCATCTCGGTTTGAGGATCAGAGACAAGCACAGAAGGCTAGTGTCGCGACTCGTGCTCCTCCTCCGCCCGCGGGTAGGGGAAGAAGGAATCGCGGGTCAAAGGGAGGTAGGCAAGACCTAAGGGATGTGATCCAGACAAGGCGTCAGCGCTTTCGTCCAGATCAGAGTGATACGTGAGTATCTACTCATTTCCTTCGGGGGTGTCACATCTGCCCTTTTTCTTCGCCTGGACATGGATTAGGGTTAAGGTTAGTTAATGATAATCTTCACCTCCAGTAAGTTTAACCTCTATTACACCATTGCTTCTGATTCACTAACAAATCATTCAGCCCGGTTATGTAAACTGGATCAATAAATTCCCCTATAACCACCAGCACTCCACCTGACAGAGGTTAGGTGGGAATTTTCCTGCATTACAGTCTTCTATGCTGGACCTATGATGTTTTTGGTTGGTTCTATGACTTCATAGCAACCACCTTACTGATGGTACGGACTAGAGGCTTCTCTGGAATCACCCTTTGAGCGGGGTTCCGGCGCGGGAACCATGCTGGGTGAGTATGATCCATTTTATATGTATATATATACAGTGGTGTGAAAAAGTGTTGGCCCCCTTTTTTTGCATGTTTGTCACAATTTAATGTTTCAGATCATCAAACAAATTTAAATATTAGTAAAAGATAACACAAGTGAACAAAAAAAATGCAGTTTTTAAATGAAGGTTTTTATTATTAAGGGAAAACAAAATCCAAAACTGCATGGCCCTGTGTGAAAAAGTGTTTGCCCCCTAAACCTAATAACTGGTTGGGCCACCCTTAGCAGCAACAACTGCAATCAAGCGTTTGCGATAACTTGCAATGAGTCTGTTACAGCTGTAGCGTCTGGACTACTCAAACACACAATATATATTTTGTTAGCTAGATTGGGAAGTATAGGTGGCATTTGCGAGAACCTTCTTGTGTAATGCTGTCTCAGGCAGTGCTCCCCTCGCCTTAGAGGGTCGTATTTGAGCTTGCCTCTCCCGTTTGGCCCAGTACCTCCGGGTATCTGTGATCAGATGCCTGGAAATTTAAGTCAATGCTATGGTAAGTGCACATGCGAAAAATTATTGCTAGCTGTTCCAGCATTGGAACATGCGGTAGGTCGAGCTCCCCTCTCGTGTGAGAGTTGGGTGTTTGCCCCCCTCAGCTAGAGATTTACTGCTAGCCATTCCAGCTTTATAGCTAAGATCGAGTTGGTGACTCTGAAACATATTGGGTTTGGTGTGTCTTGCTTTCAGAGTGCCACGAGAGCCCCTTAGAACGGTATCCTAAAATCCATGTTATGGTAAGTGTGCATGTGAAGGCTTTGTGCACTTTCTAAAATCCACATTGTGGTAATTTCGCACGCTAGTTCTTCGCATTCTTTTCTAAAATCCTGTATGGTGAGGGCTTCGCTCGGTTGCTTTGTGCCCTTTCTTGAGCTGGTTTAAGCCCCGTTCACCTTGGGCACCACTCCACTTAGGTATCCTAGGATACCTACTTTAACAGGGTGTGGCCACTAGAGTTCTGTTGAGACCGTTCCTTTCAGAGCTTATGCAAGAGCAAGCGGTAGCCCCTGTGTGACAGGCCAAGACTTAGTGTGATACTAGGTTCTTGGTCGTATCCCCTTAAAGGAATCCATTATGATTCCAAGCCTTGAGCTCTACCCCGGGCCCAGGGGTCTGGCCCTAACAGGTAAGTTGGGTATGTAGCCTAGGCCTTTGGCCGTAGGGGATAAAGTCACAGACAGCCATCTGACGTCCCAGGGGCAACTCACCATGAAAATGGTAAAGTTGGTACTTAGTGCTCGCCATGGTTCTGGCCCGCACTCCCCTCAGCATGGCAGCGTGGGTATATCGTTCCCCATAGCGACCCCTAGAGGACGCAGTTCGAAGTTCCCTTGAAAGGGAACGTCTCAGGTTACTTATATAACCATGATTCCCTGAGTAGGCAACGAGACACTGCGTCCTCAAGGCTTCTGGCCATGCTTCGAATGCAAGCTTCAGACGAAAAAGTGAAGGACATGTTCTCCAGGTGCCTATTCATATTATAGTCGCACTGGTAGTGACGTCATGGGCTGTCGCCGGCCAACGTGTTGTTGGTGTTTTTTCAATGTATCCTTCAGACACGGGTCACGACGAGGCGTTCCCCATAGCGACCCCTAGAGGACGCAGTGTCTCGTTCCCTACTCAGGGAACCATGGTTGCATAAGTAACCTGAGATGTTTTCATTAAATGTTAAGTTTTCTTCATTTTAATTAATTAATTTATTAATTTATTTTTGTAATTTTTGTGGAAAAGTTGCTGGAATTTTAATTGCTATAATTTAACTCCATAAATTAATAAACACACATTTGCTGTTAAACAAGGTTTCCCCAAAACGTTTTGTCAGCCAAATCATTTTGACCTCAAATATTTGCTTGAAGTTAATATTTCAATAATTTAATAATGGTTCTCTTATGTCACATGACATGTAGGTGAACAAATAAAATATTTCATCGTTTTTTAGTAAGTTAGTTTATTTTTATTATTTTAAAATTATTTTTATTTTATTTATTTATTTTAATTATTTAATTAATTATTAACTTTTCATCAACTTACAAATCCACAACAGTTCCCTCAAAAACCTCCCAAAAAACCCTGCTGTAAAACAATGGCATACATTACAAAACTTACTGATTGTGATTTTCTTGAGGTCTTGCTTTTTTTGTTGTTGTTGTTGTTTGTTTTTGATTTCTTGACTTCTGTTCCTTCGTAGATGAAAAAATTATACAATAAAGGTTATTGAATTTATTTGTTTACACCCATCTCACTCCCTCTCATACTTTTTCTCTACCTGTCTGCCTGATGTATTACTGTCAGATATATTGCTGTATCTCTTTTCATGGTTTCTGTTAGCTGTGGGAGTTCAAGGTCACATAATCCATTTTCTTATTCCCATAAGAAATTTCCATAATGTTAATGTCAACAGGAACTGAAAACCTTTTAGACACTCTTACTTTCTTACCGCATGTTCCTGGTCTTACTGTGGAAAATTCATCGGTAAACTTTTCACAATCAAACCGATTCTCAGCAAACAAAATTAGCTCTCAGCCTAATTTTTTCTTCCCTGTTTATCCATTTTCGCTTGAGAATATTAATGGGTTGTGAATGCAGTTTTATGCTAACTGTTCTCATTATATTCTCAATGTATTTAGTTCAAAGAGCCATTATATTGCACTTTTAATCTCTGTCTTTTGCTCGCTCTCTCTCTCTCTCTCAGGTGTTGGCTAAGAAGGTCTTCACTCTGTATTCTCTGGCAGTACAGCAGTTGTCTAAACAGGACCACTATGACTTTGGCTTGAGGGCTCTCACCTCTCTGCTTCGCTATGCTGGAAAGAAGCGCAGAACTCGCCCTGACATTGTCGATGAAGAGGTGAGACATGCAGACCTGCAGTAAAATCAACAAATCCAGAAACATTTCTCTTAGAGACCTGCTTTACCTGAATATGTCCCAGTGTATGTTCCGTAAAACAGACAGTTTTGTGTGTATGTGCACTGAATTATCTGTATATTTGTGTGTGTGTGTAAAGAAAGTGCTAATGCTGACAGGGACATGCCACTTAAATGTGTTCCTCTCTGGCTATGATTAAAAGAAGGTCTTCACTCTGTATTCTCTGGCAGTACAGCAGTTGTCTAAACAGGACCACTATGACTTTGGCTTGAGGGCTCTCACCTCTCTGCTTCGCTATGCTGGAAAGAAGCGCAGAACTCGCCCTGACATTGTCGATGAAGAGGTGAGACATGCAGACCTGCAGTAAAATCAACAAATCCAGAAACATTTCTCTTAGAGACCTGCTTTACCTGAATATGTCCCAGTGTATGTTCCGTAAAACAGACAGTTTTGTGTGTATGTGCACTGAATTATCTGTGTATTTGTGTGTGTGTGTAAAGAAAGTGCTAATGCTGACAGGGACATGCCACTTAAATGTGTTCCTCTCTGGCTATGATTTTAAAAAAATTATCAAAGGGGACAAAACCTTAAAAGAGAAGTTGAAAAGGACTCATAAACCTCATATGAGTGCTTATCTCACCACTCTCTGTCACTCTTTCTCTTTCTACCTGAATATCATCACCCATGCAAAAGGTGCCCCATGTTTATTTGAAGGTTCACACATGTGTAAGGTACGCTTGTTAAAATAAATGTCATTCAGAAGCAGTAAGACTACTGCTTTTGATAGCCGAAGAGCAAGACGGGTTTTCAGATGTGTCTGAGACCCGTTTCGCAGTTTCCTGCCCATAAATTAAGGTTGACATTTGGTCAAGTGAAGCTGGCCTGCCTTAGTTTTGAAGATGTACTCTTGTGCTGAGCTAATTTAACATAATATTTTTTGACCTCAGATCCTGCTGATGTCTATGAAGGACATGAACATCGCTAAACTCACCTCCATTGATCTGCCACTGTTTAATGGGATCATCCAGGATCTTTTCCCTGCCGTGGAGGCGCCCACTATCGACTACGGAAAGGTAGCCTGTCCCACCGTGCATCTGGCCTCATAATGGACTCATAAAGCCACTGATTGTCTCTGTGTATTTGTGTATGAATGTGTGCTCTGACTCACAGCTCTTAAAAGCATATATTTTTGTGTGTTTTTGATTACACCCATCCTATTTTTCAGAGAACAGCCCTCACACCAGCTCTTTCTCTCTCTCTCACTGAAACACCTTTCAAAAGATCCATTAAAGCCTGAGGATATTTTCCTGCCCTGTCTGTACACAATTCACACAGTCCACTTCTTTAATACAGATAAAGGCCAATGCAAAGGTGTTAGGGGGAGCTTAGTGGATAAATATCCTGACAAGCACTGCAAAGGTTGCTGTTTTAAAGCCAAGCCAAGTCTGATCTGTGAGCTAAAGAGTTATAGAGATCCCTGTTTAACTTTGTGCCCTTAAAATGTAGTGTATAATGTCTGCGCCAATAATTCTAACTCAGGAAGTCCACCTAGAAATGGCTTACTTATTGTTTTCTCCGCACTCCCTGCTTCACAGTCTTGGCAGGTTCATTTGTCTTAGCTGGTCTCCCATACTGGTCATCCTGGTCTGTTTGCTGGTTGTAGAGCAATGCTTGACTTCAGTGATTTCAGTGATCTTTCTTCTTGTACAAACTGTACTGTAACTGTAGGTAAGAAGTAGAGAATAACGGAAAGCCAAACTTTTATTAGGTTTATGTGATATATTTGATTCTCAAAATACTTGATAACCATCTTCAAGAACTTCAAAACTTGGCTAACCCTCTTACTACTCCCTTCTGTTCTTTTGCCTGCTTTGATTAATGCTTTGTCCAAACACACAATTTACTTTGTAAAAAAAAAAAAGGCAAAAGATTCTGAAAGTCACATGACTTATGGCGTATTTAAACCAGGGCTGTCCAAACTCGGTCCTGGAGGGCCGGTGTCCTGCAGAGTTTAGCTCCAACTTGCCTCAACACACCTGACTGGAAGTTTATATGCCTAGTAAGAGCTTGATTAGCTGGTTCAGGTGTGTTTAATTAGGGTTGGAGCTAAACTCTGTAGGACACCAGCCCTCCAGGACCGAGTTGCAGGACCCAGGGACAGCCCTGGTTTATACCTATTCTACTGAATACAGACTGTCTAAGAGAGAAATGTTGTTTCTGAGAAAGAGTTTATGGTGTTTGTGTCTCAGGTTTGGAGATATAAGACAGATACAGGAACATCAGCACAGCTGCCTCCTGCTCCTTCCGCAATCAAATGTGGCAAGGACAAAATTGGAGGCACACACACACACACATAGACAAAATGTAGTACTGTATTTCTCCTTCTCTGCCTCCACTCATGCACATCATACAGTGTTTTTATTGCTGTTTTATATTACTCATCCTGCATCTTCATCTCCACCTTACTCCAGCACAAACGCCTCAGAACCATTCCCTTTATTCATCCTCTCCATCTGTTTAACGAGTCGAGAGAAAACTTAGAGAGGGAGATTAAATTAACCTGAGAGATTAGCATGGCTGCTTTAGTGCCTCTGGAGCAATTCTGGTTGGTGCAACTTCACTCAGGGGTGCAGTATCAGCTGGTGTTTTTATTAAGATGGCCGCCCACCTCTTGCCAGTTCATTTGTCTTTAGTGCTTCAGTGGGATTCACCTCCACCGAAGGGATGTTTTTCCAACTTAGAAATAGTTTATACAATGTTATGAAGCAATTAGCACATATTTGGTTATAAGTTGTTACTCTGTCTTACACAAATTTTCTTTTTTTTTATCTCTAGCTGAAAGAAGCTATAGAGGCAGAACTTCGACAGAATGGTCTCCAGGTGACCCCCTTCACTGTGACCAAGGTAATTCAACTGTACGAGACCAAAAACTCCAGATACTCCTCGATGATCGTGGGGAAGACGGGCAGCGGCAAGGCGGTCACATGGAGAACCCTTCAAAACACCCTTAGCACCCTGCAACGCAACGGAGAACCGGTATTCAACCTAATACGAGTGAGACCTCCATCTTTATCTTAACCTCTGTATCTCCACCCCTTTCTCTATATCAATAGCTAGCAGTCTTGCTTTTCATGTTGTCTAAAGGACAACAGGTAATCGCAAGGTTCCTCAATAACAAAGCGGTTCCGTTAGCTTTATCGAAATGAATTGTTTCCATTCATGAGTAGTTTTAAGGGCAAAGATCATGCCTCTGAAACAAATTTCTTCGCAGCAGCTGTTCTAGAGCCTAAAAGGCTATGCCAACCTTCTATCCCTCATTACCATGAAAATGAACCTCCGTCAGCGGCCATGCTTATTCAACACCCGATACATTAACCACCAAGACAACAGAGTTTCTCTTAAACACTCTTCGCTGTTTAGAGAACATGTGGCAACAAGGACTTAACACTCATTAAAAGCCCCCCTGACAGACTCTCGGCTCACTCGTGGGTGTTTTGAAAATGATGGCATAGTCAAGATGGCAGCTAGCGCTAATTGCCGCAGCTTATAATCTCTTACTTTTCACAGTTGGTTTGGCTATGGCTAAAGGAGTGCCACTCCACGCTGTGCTTTTAACACAGTTGTCTTTTCACCGAGTCTCCTCATGTCTAAAACCGTGTGTTTAGTGTTCATGTTTGTTCTGATCTTTTTTGTTTTCACTTCTGTTGTTTTTCCCCATCTCCTTCATTCTTTGTAACCCTTTTCACGTGTCTCATCCTGATGTGGGTAAAAATAGAAGAGTGGGGTGGGGGTGGGGGGAATATATGTTTCTCAGGTTTTCCTTCTTTAATGATGTTCCTGGAGTGTGTGTGTGCAAGAGAGATGCAGGTGAGGTCTGACAGACTGTTTTATCCTTTGTTGATGCTGTCAAAGTCTCTTTTTTTTTCTCTGTTTAGATGCCATCCAAATTTCCCCCTTTTGAACTGCAACCTATAACATATTAGGAATAGTATACTACTCTTACCATATTTGTAGAGTTAATTTCCAGCCGTGCTTTAACACACCTGGCTGCAATTTTCAAGGAAACCTAAAGAGCTTAATTAGTTTATTCAGGTGGGTTTAATTAGAGTTGGAACTAACCTCTGCTGGGACAACAAATGGGGAACCCTCCTTGTGTCTGAAATTGCCGCCTATAAATAGGGCACTATGAGGAGACAGTCATTTTTAGTAGTGTCCAATACCTTAGGGGACATCGTCGAGTGCATGCTTTCAATCCCACAATGCACAGCAATAACGAGTGTACAACTGATGTATGCTCAAAGGCTAGAGAATACCCACAATGCACCGTGAGAGTTGCGTGCCGAATGAATTGCCGCCTCTTGCCAGAAGATGGCACCCGCAGCTGAATCATCCATTCATCCGTTCATTTTACAAAGCGTTCGTCCACTGCGTACAGCGTAATACAATACAGATATAAATTCATTGTAAATTGATTATTAAATTGTTTAATTAGAATTTATGCATAATTTCTATGACAGAGGTCAAGATAAATCCTTTCATCTTACTACTGGAGCTGCCAGTTTGCCAGTTTAAAATCAAAATAATGTTCTTTTTAGCAGCATCATATGGCCCCTTTAATCAGCAAGCACAAACTATGAAAAAAAGCGCCAGTCCTTCCGGTGCACTCGGTGTCCAAATTCACTTACTCGTTTTCATTCACTCCTTCAAGTGAACTGTATTAGTGGCCTAATGTAGGGAATAGTGAATGTAGGGGGCGATTTCGGATTCGGCCCCTGTACTTGCTAAATTAAACATTTAACATAATGAGGTCAGGTGACAGCATATTACTGGATTTTTTTAGTATTGACAATAGCACATTACCAATTACAACCTGTTGAGAACAGCTGAACAATGTTAACAGCTTAACTATTTTTTTAGAGCTGCTTTACAGCAGAATTAATCTCTGTCTGCATCACTGAATCATTATTTTCCTGTTTATCCCTGCAAAGCTGCTTTGAAACAATCTGTATTGTATAAAGCGTGTAACGAATCAGCTCATGGGAAATATGAATAATTAACCAAAACTAGTCATTACACCAAATACACAAAATAATGTTCTTTTTAGCAGCATCATATGGCCCCTTTAATCAGCAAGCACAAACTATGAAAAAAAGCGCCAGTCCTTCCGGTGCACTCGGTGTCCAAATTCACTTACTCGTTTTCATTCACTCCTTCAAGTGAACTGTATTAGTGGCCTAATGTAGGGAATAGTGAATGTAGGGGGCGATTTCGGATTCGGCCCCTGTACTTGCTAAATTAAACATTTAACATAATGAGGTCAGGTGACAGCATATTACTGGATTTTTTTAGTATTGACAATAGCACATTACCAATTACAACCTGTTGAGAACAGCTGAACAATGTTAACAGCTTAACTACTTTTTTAGAGCTGCTTTACAGCAGAATTAATCTCTGTCTGCATCACTGCACATGCATACAGTTGGTATAGGAAAGGGTTAAAGCTTAGCTCAGTACAGAAAAGAGACTTTTAGAGAGAATTTATGGAACCATTTGCCTATTCAGCAGATCTACACCTGAGGGAAACGTCAGATTCTTAGTTCAAACACACCTTGGTAAAAAGGTGCAACTGATACCTAATATATCAATTAATAAGACTAAGTTTGATACTTGCAAGTCTCGTCTGTCTGAAAATAGATTCCTGATGCAATCTTAAGGTTTCCAGTTGATCTTTGCTGAATTTGGGTCGATGAAAAGAACCAGTTTGAGTCAGAGGATCTTGGTGAAATTGAAAGGACAAGGCCGAGGCCTGGCACGAGCTTAGGGTTTCCGGGAGCGTTTTTCTCACATCCTCTCAGAATTAAAACAAACCACCGACTGCGTGGGTCCCTGGAGCAGGGCCTTTAAGGTCAGAGAAGATCCCCACCTCTCAAGATGGGCTTGTCCAAATGAGGAAGTCCGGAATCTCAAGTGGGAGTTCTGAGATACTGGGGCATTTTTATGGCCCTTTGTTTGAAAGCATATGGTAATTTGCATATGAAACTCGGATAAAAATTATTAAAGACTCTTAGAACACTAATATGTTGCGTAGGTGTAAACATACAATATACACTCTCAATTAGATCATCTGAATACGAATTCATAGGTACTAAACATGGTAGAGTTATATATATGTAAGCTGACAGGAGTGTGTTTCGATTATAAGCCTGCATAACAGTATACAATTTCAAAGACAAAATACACGATGACAATAATATACCCAATGACCTGAAGGATCATGTGCGTTCACTCCAAGAAAGGTTTTCCTATTAATTAATTAGCAAAGAAAAGTCCTTCCCTTGTGGATTTTGCCTATGGGGAAGGAAGCGATTTTCTTCACCTAAATTCCAGGAGGTCGTAAATGTATCGGGTGTCAGGGTTGCCATGGAACCAGGGGCCTGTTCGGCTTCCTGGGGTGTTACAGAGTATTTGTTAAATCTAGCTAACAAAATATATATTGTGTGTTTGAGTGGTCCAGACGCTACAAGCGCTATATAAAAAGGTGGGGTAAAACAGAAAAAAGAAAAAAAAAGAACTAGAAAAATATTGTCACATGACCTTGAATTAGTGGCTTCCAGTTATCACCTAACATATCACAAATGTGTGTGTGTATATTATATATACTAGCATTAAAAATATATATTTTTATGTTTTTGAAAGAAGTTTCTTTGGCTAACCAAGGCTGAATTTATTTTATCAAAATTACAGTAAAAATAAATTAATACTATTGATAGATCAATTTAAAATAACTGTTTTCTATTTCAATCTAAAATCGCGTAGTGTCACAGACTCAGATTTTTTTTAGTTTCAGACTACGATTCCATCCAGTTGGAGAATATCAAACATGTTTGATATTTTCAACCGATTTTAGAACACACGTTATTTTCATTTGTCGAGTGTCTCCTAGCAACAAGGCGCGTGTTTCTGTGTGAGTTTGTTGTGATCAAAAGGGGCCGGTTGCATAAACATAGCCATTGACTTAAAGGGGTCATATGATGCTTTTTTAAAGATCATTATTTTGTGTATTTGGTGTAACAGAATGTGTTGACATGCTTTAATGTTCAAAAAACACATTATTTTTCAAATACTGGACATTATTGTAGGTCCTCTATCCCCCGCCTCTCTCAAATGCTTAGTTTTCTACAAAATCCCTCAGCTCGACAAGCGCAGTCTGCTCTGATTGGCCAGCTGACCCAGTGCATTGTGATTGGCCGAACACCGCAAGCACTCGTCGGAAATGTAACGCCCCTTACCATAATCGCGAGCTTCATCTTTCAAAATAAATGTAAAGACAGAGCCCGAAAGGGGAACAGAGTGGCGTGACAGACACAGTGATGAAGCTCATATGTGTTTGCAGTACACAAGCCACGGTTAAGACAGCTGACTCCACTGTGATGTGACCCCCTCTCTCTCTCTCTCTCTCGCTCTCACGCTCTCTCTCTCCCTCCCTCTCTCTCGCGCTCTCTCTCGCCCTCTCTCTCGCGCTCTCTCTCGCTCTCTTTCTCTCGCGCTCTCGCTCGCTCGTGCACACACACACACGATGCACAAAACTCCGCATTTGAACAGTCAATAGCAAATACTTAAACTAATAACAAAACAGTAGCTGATTCAGAAGCGCCAGATTGTCATAGCAAAGTCAGAATTACCTCCTCTCCTAGGTTCACGAAACGGTCATCCATAAAATGCATTGCTGTTCTGTTGTAAGTAATATTAAAGATTCCTAAATGCATCTACTTTCGGAAGGCCAAATAAAGTGTTTTTGCTTTCGCCTAGAAACACACAGCGTCTCCCTGACATGGCTGCTTCAACACTAACTGTGGTTACTGAAACCACACCTTCTTTCCTCGCGTGAACATTTGGGCGGCATTACGCAAATATTTCCACATAGTGAGGTAGATATGTGGGGGCGTGTTAGACCGAGCCGTTTTAGGGGGGCGTGGCAGAGCCATAACTTTGATAAAGAATATCTCTTTGTTTTTGAGACTTTAGTCTTTGCAACTTCAGGGATATTATCTATG